TAAGGGAGTGCATGTATGTAGACACATTAGTTTAGCTGCTATAGGCTTGGACTGTCGAGGGACACCTTACTTCTTCCTTCTGTCTGTCTGTACCTGTGTACTCTCATGTTCCGATTAACCCAGCTTCCCCCAAATCTCTTTTTTTCTGTTTATATCTAAGCCGGGATCCTGAGTCGAGGCTGATCCTGTCTCTGCGGTCCTGCCTGACTCTCATCATACTACTTCCCTGATGGCTCCCACAGGATTGTTGACATCCTCGTGGATTCATCTTCTTATTATAGACACATGCATTTCCAAACATTGGGTCTAACTACGCTGTAAAATGTATTATCTCTTCAATTTACACACGGCATCTATTGCACGTCTGTCCGTCCTGGGAGAGGGATCCCTCCTCAGTTGCTCTCCCTGAGGTTTCTCCCATGTTCCCGTTTAAACTGTGGGTTTTCTCTGGAAGTGTTTCCTTGTACGATGTGAGGGTCTAAGGACAGAGGGTCTAAGGACAGAGGGTGTCGTGTTGTCATACTGATATTCTGTACAAACTGTGAAGTCCACTGAGACAAATGTAACATTTTTGATATTGGGCTATATAAATAAACATTGATTGATTGTTTGATTGATTGATTGATTGATTGATTGATTGATTGATTGATTGATTGATTGATCTCTGATGCAATAAATACAGCAAATAATCTGCTCCAAATGATTACAAAATGCTTGTTTTACACAACTTTCCTGCAGTCACTATTTGGGTTCATTGTACAGTTCATCAGTTGTTCTGTGGTGCGATTGTTATGCACATAATTAATGATGTTATTAACATAAATATGAAACTCATTCAGTGATCAAAATGTCTTCGGAACCACCATTTCAGGGGACTCACCAAAAACAATCCTCAGAGTTGCTCGGCTTCTTGTAAATATAGGTCGTCTCCCATTCAGGTTTCAACTTGGTGTCGGTGTATTGCCAGAAGTTGATGAAAAAGGAAGAGATTTTGCGTGCTGGAGGCAGGATGCGCTGCAGGTTGAGCGTGTAATCGCAGTTGAGACCAAAACTTCCCGCAGAGATGATGGGCGTACTGAGCCTTAGACCTTGTTCAACACTGATGTGAAGATGTAGGGGAGAGGAAAAGAGATAGAAATAGATATTGACATAATGTATTGAGGGGGAAATTGCAAGGTGCATCATACAGACACATCCAATACAGAAACACATGTTATGTACGAAGCAGAAAATCCCATATGCAAACCCTTTTTTATCTGCAAAAATGTGGACCTGACCTTCAAGAAAATGCACTTACTCAACCATTTGGAAAGTGGCGTAGGTGCAGGTAGGCCCGAGCACTGCACACCCCAGGGTGCCTGAACTCTGCAAGGGAAAATAAATGAGTGTGAGCGTTTGTCTTTCTGTGTGACGGTGCGTTTGTCCAGTTATTTGATGACATTATGTTTGATAGCTACGTCTGTGTACTCTGAATTTCTTTGCAGAGTTACTCTAGTGTCCGTTAGATGCAGTTAAAGTAAGTGTGAAACAGCCTTGAAACAAAAAACTATTAATATTATATCTGTCGTGACCCTTTGGACACTGTTAAGCTGTTTATGTTGTGCATAGTCAAGATGCCTCCTACAGGATACAACTTTTTATCCTGAAGGTTACACACTAAGCACACAGGTCATCAGCGCTGGATGTACGATAATTACCATATTTGTACAGTCATTTTGCTTACTTTATTATAAATTATGACAAGAATTGCCATCATTTATGTTATTTCAAGGTTCAAGGTTCTTTATTGTCAAACTACCATAGCTACAGAGTAATTATGTCATTGAAAATCTTATGTCACAGGCTTCTCCAACGGTGCAACACAATAATGCAGATAAGCAGACAATACTAAGGTGTTGTACTTGTAGAGCAGACAACATGTAACTGGTCTAGGATAGCAAAAATATGGACCCTGCTTCTGTGTTAATTCATATTTTCTCACATTACATTCCCAGGCCATCACACTTGATGGAGGCTGATTTTTTAAATTACACATGTACTTATGTGTTCTTGTGGTTAGCAAGTATGTTATGTGTCTTGTTGGGTGTTAAATTGTACTCACTAGTAGCGTCTTCAGCTCGTCCACTCCCTCACACGCACTACTCCGGCAGCCTTTGTGTCGATAATAGGTTGTGTTGAATCCGCCATAATTAGCCGTGAGATTAAACGGTGCATCTTGATGTAGTTTGGGTAAAGAACAAAAAGGCAGAAAATATTTCATACATTCAAAAATATAGAAAACTCATAAAAAACTAATTAAACAGTGCGCATTTGTCTTCCTGTAACACGAGCTGCAAATGTTAGCATGTCCAGCTAACTAGCACACTAAGATTAGCGGTAGCCTTACCCAGTGTTACTTCCAAAAGCTAATATTATATTATTTTGGGAGGTTACAGATACACTAAAAAGAATACACGTTTATGTTTTGCCCATCTACTTTTTAGTATTTTCCCTCCGTGTGGAAGACTGTATACTTTATCACATTATTTAGCTAGTGTAAGCTAAGGTTAGCTCCAGCAGCCTTAGCTAACTAGCCATAGTCTTTTAGCATGATATAATGTGTGTTATGTTGGAGCAGAACCTCTGCTCCGCGCGTTCCTCTATGAGTTTGTTTTAAAAGAAGGAAAAGTCAAAGCACCAGGATATGGGTTAAACAATAATCTGCTTTAATGGTAAAATATACAACACAAATACAACCTCAATCACGGAGGTGCTAGTGGAGTGCACGCGTCTCAAAACAAGCCTAGTTTGTTTACAAAATTGCGGCGCAACTTGGTGGGCGGTACCCTGGAAAGAAATCTCTGCGTGATAAATACAAGGCGTGGCGTGTGAGCGTGTGAATGGAGAGTGAAATGCGTGTGTCTCACGCCAAATGCGTGAGACTTGAGAGCTCTGCGTTAGCTTAAATAGCTAGGTACTGTGATCAAATAGGCTACTAATGACAAGCTGGCATGACAGGGGGGGCGCGAGAGGCCAGGAGGAAAAATGGTTATTAAAAAAAAAATTTTTTAAAAATCATAATTTGAAAAATTATTGATTCGAAAATAATATGATACAGTACATTACTATTACGTCTGGGTCTCTGTGTTTCATTAAAGCTCTGCTCTGTGTGTGTGTGTGTGTGTGTGTGTGTGTGTGTGTGTGTGTGTGTGTGTGTGTGTGTGTGTGTGTGTGTGTGTGTGTGTGTGTATGTGTGTGTGT